GAACAAGTGAAGCAAATGACTCACGTGATCATATGTCATACGACTGTCTTTTGGCATGAACCTTTTGTGAGCGCCAAACATGAGCTTGTGAAATTGTAGTAAACGTCCTCTAGAATCTATTATGTTGCAACACTCCGCCGCGAGCAGAATGGCGAATACGTTCTCATCAACGCCCTAAAAGAATGCGTTCATATTAATCATTAATCAACAAAAACGCACAACGAACCTCTGAATGTTTCATGTCCTCCTCCTTTGTTCCTTCTACTGAGAAATTGAATGAATTCAGTATTTCTAGAGCACATTTCCTAATAGATGCTTTTGGATTGAAGTAACAAGGTGTAAGGAGGTCGGACACCCTAAAAAAATAAGTATGAAACGTTTTATTCGGGCGACTTAAGCAAGACCACACTCCCTTTAGCATTCATCAGCGCTGTCAAACTTCAGTTCCTTTACATAACTAAACACATACAGTGTATATGATTGTTTTTCTAATTATGCTATACTAAATATTTGCATCAAGGAAACTGCTCGCTTATCCACACGCAGAAAAAGTCTTACTCAAATCACGAAGTTATTGACTCATATAAGGCGTTAGAGGGTACAGGTGAGCAGAAGGAACCCGAAACATGTGTTTGTATTTTTCCAATTCCAATGTGTTACTTACATATTCTAGACGACTATGCCAACTTTTGATTCACGGAATGAGCCCCCCTGATTGCACGTACAGAGTTAATATGGTAGCAAAGTTGAACTCCAAGAAAGCAGTTACTTAACCATGAGCAGAATTGCGGAATGGGCCGTCGATTCGTCACTGCCTTTCACGAATAAGTCTATGCATTTCACGGTTCCATATCTTTATTCGATAGATGGCTCCACATGGTCCAAAACGAGTGGGATGTTTAGTTTCGCGTGCCGCGAACTGGATTTCGCTCGAGGTCTGCTATACCAAACCAATGCATCAAAAACAAAGCCAAGTAGTGAATAATATAACGGTTCTAGTAAAGAAATCGCTTTTGGCTTGTCTGTTTGCGTTTTAGATTTCCTGAGGAAACGTTATACACTTTCAAGCTACGACAGCCGTTAAGTCACGCCAAAAGATTGCCCAAATTTACGGAATGGAGTTTTCGGTAAGACATTATTTCGTGTGAAGCCTTCAAATCAGAACCGACCGTTTCAAATTATGCTCTTCTAGAGCGCCCTCGTTAGCTTCCAAATAGAATCGATACAATCTAAGCGAAGACTCACAACAACTGCTGCACCTACAAACAATGAGAAACATTGGATTAAACATCTTTGAACCTGGCTTATTTCAATGATTACCAATAAAAAGAAAAGCGAGAGTAAAATGAAGCATGTAAGTATTGATACCTCACAAATCGCTCCACTTCACTAGGGTTAAGCATTCTCAAAAGGGATTTATCCACTTGAAATATTGATGACGCAGCAAGGAGAGCAAGCTGCGATGCCTCGAGCGAATAATCATCTCCGGAAACCAGTTCTTTCAAGTAAGCTGCCACCTCTTCTGTACCTAAGAAAAAAAGACGTTCGGAAAGAGTTTTGTTTTGAAATCAACACAAACGTGTGAATGTACGGATAATGTAAGCAGCACAGATTCTCCCACAGAAATTATCAAAAGGGTCTAAATACTTCATCCACGTAGCCATGGGGAACGCAATGGGTTTGCTCGATAACAAACTGTTTGACACTAATCAACCAATTCATGAACAAAAAAGGGAAGGTGCCACGAATAACGAGGCTCATATTTATCGTGTATTTTAACGGGCTCGTAGAGAACCGTGCGCATTTATAAAACATATAGCTGGCATCACAGAAATGGAGACGACAATTCTAAGGAAGAGCCATGATCAACCCTAACACTTTTCGAAACTTTGGCAAACCTATGTAATTCCCCTAATCAAATCTATTTATTTAGGTTTTCTAAGTAACCATTTGAAGGAAACCATTGCTTACCTGATATTGGTTCTGAAACATCAAAAACCCAGGGCCAAATCACCAACACCGCTGCATTGAGAGACCTTTCAGCCGACGTGAAGCGGGGAATCAACTCAACCACATGTTGCTTAACACAGAGATGGTGGGCAACATCGAATATAGGAGCACGACCTTAACGTGCATGAACGTTTAGAACGACAAATGATGAAAGTGAGATCTGTTCGTTTTGAAGAAGAACAACAATGGAAATCTAGCTACTCACTTCTCGACAAGGCGTCCTGAATTGGCCTTTTCTTCAAGCAGATAGAAGAGTACAAATTCAACAGACGAGCAGATAGTGTTGGTTCCTTGAATGTGAAACGTTTGGTTCCCTTTCGGACAACAGACCGGAAGCTATTCTACCGAGGCACATGTTCAACGCTACTTCCATGAATGTACAACACTTTCTTACCTTGGCGAACAATTGTTCCGACAGCTTACCAATAATTGGCACAATACACTCATCAAAATACACCACATCCAGTATGGTATCAAAAAGGTCTAATACCTGCAAAAAACACGCGACCAATGAGGGACTATAAGCTGCGAATGTTAGGTTCTATGATGAAATACCACACCAGTGAAAAGCTTCCTTCGAGTGAGACCATTTTTGCACACAAAGAACCAATACGGGGACCCCATTCCTTCTCAGAGAATACAGCGAGAATACTCTAGAAGAAATTGCAAAATTACAAGCAGAATAAAGCAGACCACAATCATTTCTTGCAACAAATTTGATAAAACGGCTCACTTTCGAGAAGAAGTTGATGAATTCAGCGTTGAGTCGGAAAAATGAAGCAGATAGGACCTTCTCGATTGTGGAAAGCAGTTGTTCTTGTGAAGAAAACAAATTCTTCCACTTCCGTTGTACGAAACACAGACTCAATAGTCGGGCCGCGTACGTACAATGCACCATATTGGAAGCCTTTTCCATTAAGTTCTGTAACATAAGAAACGCTTTAACCTAGGATGGACGGCGGAGAAAACATGTTAGACCAAGAAATACTTACGATTAGAGTAACTTCAAAGAAGAAGAGATCTCCTCGTGACGCCTTCTGGACATACTTCACTATGAACTCCGTTGTCTTTTCTAGTATAGTTACACCATAATCTCGAATATCTGGGTCGGAAATTTTGAATACACCAGTTACCATGTTGTGGACTTGCTGAAAATGCTTCGGACATTGACGTATTGAAAAAAAGCTACAGGAGGATCGTCAAATTTCGATCGCAGCACCAGTTTAGAATCCGAGAAATGTAAGAATAAGGATTCTGCAACAAGAAGATACTTAAAGGTTTGTGAAAATAAAGGAGGGATTCTCATTTCCCTACGTATGCACTCCCTTATAAGTCATTTTGGCATTACTAAGAAGCTGTAATAATCGCAATAACAAAAGAATGAAGAAATAAAATGAAATGACATCGCTCACACTAGGATTTACTCAAGTTTTTCTTACCTCTTTAGCTGCACTGTGGAAATCCTCCAGCAACTCCTCTACAAACGTAGAAAAACAACTCGGCACAACCTTCAGTTAGTCTTTCGTCCTGCACCTTATACGCTTGCTCCACGACATGTTGAGATATCTGTAGTGAAACGGGTCAGTAATAAAGAAAGTTAGACGCTACCACAGCCATATGTGAAAAACTATCCGAGCCCTGAAAACTACTCATACCGTGCTTAGCTTTGATGACTTCCTCATTACAAACGAGAACGATTCCGCTGCAAAACGACGGACATAGGGTCTGCTACTTCCAAAAAGAGGAATGAACCGACTAAAAGATAGTTATATAGCAGGATATGAACAAAGATTATAAAGCCCAAAAACAAGACACTGCAACTAGTTGTTGCATCGCTATCCTTTGCACTTGTTGTGTTAGTCTGAGCTGCTGACATTAGACCACTCAGAAACAAGGAGGATTCGGAAAAATAAGTAAGGAAGGAAAGTAGAAGTAGATGGCGCATTGAAGCCTCTAACCTGGTGCATGAAGAATAGGCGAGAAATATGCCTCTCAAAAACGGAAGAGAGAGCATTCGCTAAGGCAGTGCATTCCAAATTGGGCACTTTCCTGATTTCCCTCTCTGATCATTTAGCGAAAAAATACCATTCAAGCACTCGCTCATATGCCTCTTCATTCCTCCATACCCTATGCGCAAATGCAAGGGCTAAATGGTTGAAACTGAGTCACTGCATCCGCTAAAATCCCTGAAAGCCAACATTGTGAAAACCGTGGTTTACTTACGCATCCTTGCTGCCTCCGTCTGAACACACCCCAACAATTGGTTCTATGAGCACTCTCGCTTGGTTTTTTGATTCTTTTCTTTTCGTTCTTAATTAAATCTCATATACTCCATTACCTTTCTTGCAATTCCATCTTGAGTGTGATGCCAAAACTTATAGAACAAACTGTGTTGGAAACCTCACTCACACAAAAGAAGGAAACGAAATCCTTGATTAATGTTCGCCACATGATTCTCACAAGAAGGGATAAGGTAAAAAATGCCGCTTCCACCGATTCAACATCACGCTCTCCAAGATCTGTAAAATGATCAGGATAAAAAGAATATGAAGGCATCGGACTAAAAAAGTAAGATCTCTGACCACACCTAGTACATTTGTCAATGCACTGAAGAAATCCCACATATCATCTCGAAAATCCTCCTTCATGTCGAGTACGAATGCCGATAACAGCTCGCAAAAGGCTTGAACAGACTTGCATTTCTAAACAGGAGACTTGAACTAAGCAATAGCGCGTTTCTACCTTTCCTGAGATAAGAATGAAGCGTACCTCATCCTGTAAGTTCTTCAGTAATAACTCTGTTATGGTCTTTTTGTGATAGAGCAGCTGCGCATGTGTGCTAAGTTCATCACACGGTAAGCTGTCAACGAATGATGCTGAAGAAAAAAAAATGTTGTTGACTGCCCAAAATACTGGTAGAAGGAGTATTTCGCACACCCCTTCATCGCATTTCTTTCGGATGAAGAAGTCTGCTCAGGTTTTTTTTTTCGTTTCTTTAGGTATGAAGAGGCGCTAGGTGTTTCACCAATTTTCACAACCACCAATAAACGAAAGCTGCCCTCGTCAACCGTATAATAAGGATAGATATCACAAGAACATTGAGTTATGAGCAAAAATTATCCGTTCCAGAGTTCCGGAATTCGAACCCGCACCACCACGCTACCGATTACACTACTGCTTTACCTTAACCCACCCTTGACGGTGAATTTATCACAACCCACCAGCTATCAGTAATAATAAGGATAGAATTGCCAACAAAAGTAGGATTGAATTAATACTGTTCGACAACACTGTTCAGATATGAACAGGTCTAGGGCAGATTTTCGGGAATAAAGTGATTGAAGAATTCGCCCGATTATTTCAAACAAATGAGCATACTAGCTCCTAGGGCCTTCCGCAGCCCCGGCCCTAGGAGCTAGTATGCTCATTTGTTTAGAATAACCGCCAGGCCCCAAGCCCTGGCCAGGTGTTGGGTTCCAAAACTCCGTTTCTGTTTTGGTCGATGACGCGATCTTCGTGCTCAAGAAAAGGGAGATGCGTCCAGATGTAGAGTTTCGAGAGCCCATCCCTGGCCGGGGCTTGCTGCACCCGGCCCAGTCCACCGATGATCAGCGGTGGACCTGAGGTTCCCGTAGCAACAAATGTTTCGCGCGCGGTGCCACGCAAAAAATGCTTGGCTGGGCCGACCAGCAAACCACACCCCTCTGCCATCCCCTCTTCCGCACTCTTCGTTTGGCCCTAAAGAGCGACACATGAGTGCGTCTCAACGCGACCGCTTCCCGTCCCAACTATGTCAGCATCCACGCTGGCCAGTGTCAGGCTTTGCGAGTACAACGAGTCACCTAGTGAGTCGCGGGGTAAAGGCACTTTAGCGGTTCGAATGACGCAGCAGATTCGATAGCGATGCACATCAACGGACAGAACGCCTCCATTTCTCACACGGAAATTCCCGAAACGCGCTGAAGCATTGTTCGAGCAGCTGGACTTCGTTGAACCGAAAGTAAAAACAGGCCTCGTCCTTGGACACGCGATATGCTAGAAGATGTACGTATTTATCCCACCCTGCGCCCGTGCGATTGCGTACGGCAGGCGATTACAGTACTCTCACGGCTAGTTGCGCTATCGTTGGCACCCTATTTTCGATTGAATAACTACGGGTAGAACTTGTGATGAGAGGAAATAATAAGACTAGATGACTTATATCGGCTATTATTTTTGCCATTTAGCCTTCGAGATTCAGCAGTAATATTTGTGGTAGTGGACATCTGGTCAAAAAATTTCTATCTCTTATCCAGCAAAAAAGTAGGAAGCGAACACTAAACACAACATTTAATGCAAAATGATTGGATCGTGAAGAACTAGTTTTCCCATTGATAGCGCAATAGTTAAGCTTTCTGCTCACAGCTTACGTAAAGAACTGCTATTATCTTCCAACGCAGAAGCTGTAAAATCCACACAAGGTTGGCGAATAAAAGCGCCAAGCCATCATTCTCCTCCCCCACCCCCCTGCTGGTCCCCCACAGATCCACAGTAGTAGCGCTTCAAAAGACTAGCGGGAAGTGTAAGCCATTTTCATTACCCTCAAAGTTCACCCTCTCCTCCAAGGCTCAGCCACCGTGGGCATGCTCCTTTTCAGTACACGCCTCAAGAAATTGATTCGCAACGGTAACGCAAACGCTCCTGTAAGCGGATTATCTCCAATGGAACTGAATTACATTTTACGGCATCTCTTACAGAAAGAATGAACATATCCCATGGCCTATCATCTACAAGTATGCGCTCTCACTTTCAGCACAAGTCATCCTCACAAGGATACCTCCGTATCAGATTTCTATGTCTATGGAAATATCTACAAGTGCTAATAAATCAACTACAACTCGAAAACAAGGTGGCCGTGAGACGCAACTACTAAGCAGTTCATGATGAAAACTATCTCACGAATTAGAACTCTCTCTTCCCTCAGGTGCCAAGTAAACTTCGTCCCCTCGAGTCCCTCACTGCACTGGTACAATGCATAATGCATCAATGATTGTTCTAGTGCGGAACATTATGCACACTTACCCTATTTTGCATGTTAAGAAGTAAATGACATGAGGAATTAGAGTGGTTTCCAGGCGCGCAATGGTTTTCCAACGATATGTAGAGCATCTCTCGGTACCCGTCACCTATCTGAAAGGAGAAATGCATGGCTCAACTCAGTACAATATTCGGAGCTGTGCTAGTTATGAATTGATTAGTCTTCCCATTTCCTTTCATCACGAGCCCCGCCTGTGATCATCAGTTACAAATGTCAACGCCAGTAGAACTAGGCGGTGTACTGTAATCGCTTGCGGTACGCAATTGCACCGGCGCAGGGTGGGATATATACGTACATCGCTAAGAATGCTATAAAGCAAAACATCCTGTAATGAACCCCCAAAATCTTGGTCATTCCATTTCGTTAGCGCTTCTGTGAAAAACAGTTCGCTATCGTTGGGACGGTGTGATAGCCTCCTACTAAATCTGGCACTGTCTCCTCCAATTGAAGCAACACATTGGTTGAAGGTAAGGTGCTGAAATATATTTAACTGAAACCAAAAGTGATCCAGCAGAAAAGTAAAAATGGTGCGGTAAACCAATGAGACAAAAATAGGGTCTCATCCAGTAAGGGGGCATGCGTGTGGTGCGACTGTTGTATATTGTGTGAAGAAATCCACTCCAAGGCAAAGAGAAGCCCGGAGTGGGTGTCAAAAGTTAAGCGAAATTCATTCACAGCACGCCGGGATTCCTCCCATTGAAAATTTGTATCTGAAGCCTGACAAAAACTCTTGCAACCAGTGCCCGTGCCCTCTGTTACTGGATGAGACCCCAAAATAGCAAACAACAACATGAACAAAAACCGAAAAGTATCATACCTTGAAGCGTTGTTTCTTTGGCGGGGGAGCTTCTTCCTGATCCTCCATATTGCCCTATCCTATTACTGCAAACACCATGTTTTTAGCGTAAAGATAAAAAAAAATGGAGTAATGACATGCTTTTCCTGGGGCTTCGGGTCACAACAGGATTAGGCCTATATGGAACAGCCTCGAGTGTAAAAAAGATGGCTCCCTTTCTATGGAATGGTGGAAGCGCAACACTTAAACCTTTCGTCAAATGCTTACGATTAACTTGTTTGTGCTTCAAAAAGCTGAGCAAACAGAAAGATATGCACCAGAGTTAGTTATGCGAGTTCTCAGAAACTTCTTTGCAAAGGATGCCTCTCATCATTCGTGAGAATCCCCAAAATGCCGAGAGAGAAGTGGTCGCGTTGCTACAAAACAGATTCTTTCGGGAAATTTGACACAAGCCGGTGGTTACCTAGGGTGCGGTTCATAGTACAGAAAGCCCAGCTTTTTGTTGTTTCCCGCTGCGAAACGCGAAAAGTCGCTTTCTGTCCTAATGAATCACACCCGCTACCTGAGATTTGGGAGCTTATAATCCAGCATGTTCAATAGCAGACCTAAAAATTTATAAGGCAATAGGAACCTGAATTACCTATGTACATAATCGGACGCCTAAACGTTGTAAACTAGATATTGCGGACTTACGTCCAACTTTACGCACAGTTTTATGGTAACATTGCACAGCGGTTTCTGAGCATTTCTGAGCACGCATTTAACAGCAAAAGAGCATTTTAATTAATGCAGAAACATGTATCAACGCTAGTGTGTTAACGACGTCAATGCGGAACAGAGCGCTCAAAGCTTTCAAGACCACGACTATTCCTTTTATAGTCGATATCTGGGGCGGTATTCAATCCTTCCCCCAGGGGGATATATCCCCCTCCTCTGATTCAATCCTCTGGGGGGACAAAAAAGGGTTGCGTCATAGGACCTAGCATACCTCTGTGTTTCTACCTGCCAGACAGTTAGAGCAGCGCGACTACCCTCCACTGATGAAGCACTCTTTTCCCTGAGGGGTCGCGCTGCTCTAACTGTCTGGCAGGTAGAAACACAGAGGTATGCTAGGTCCTATGACGCAACCCTTTTTTGTCCCCCAGAGGATTGAGTCGATATCCGAAAGTTGGGGTAGGTGTGTCACCGGAAGTGACGTGCACTTGATAGAAGTTGCGTGGATGAGCTGCTGCCAGCATGCTTTGCTGATATCCAGCGATGTATGTTGGACAAGAATGTAACTTCAGCACTAGGTCAGGGCTACCCGTAATCCAGTTCACGTCTCGCGCGCAGATTCGAATGGAGCATAATGTGTGCCCATGTTGTGACAGCAACCCAGTGATACTATCACAGAGGATGTTTTACCAGGAAGACAGGAGGCAACTTGAAAACAGCTGCTTTTGCTGTTGAGTGAAACAAGAGGCAATGAACATAAAACCAATAGAGGCAATGATTTTGAGATTAGGAAGTTTTTTTTATGGAACCTTCTTTCTCAAGTATCGTACAATCTGGCGTACGGAGAACAAACTTGTCAGAATCTTCCGTAACAGGTGTGTTCCTCACGAGCTAACAATCGCCATAGTTAGGCAGTTTATCATTCAGCTTACAGTTCCGTACTATTAGGTCGGTCCATAATTTTTGAGAACCTTTGGTGTTTTTCGACTTAATTACTTATCTTATTTCTCTGATGTATTTATTCAGCATAGTATACATCACCATTATTACCAACATATCACCAATGCGAGGGTGGGTATTCAGTGTCTCTCTTGTAGAATTTCATAGAGTTCTGATCGAAGAAATATTGGATGTCGATTTTGACTTTATGGTGATTCAAGTGAGATTTCTTCTCCAGAAGGTGATTGAGAGAGGAGAGCGGATAGTCGTTCGTTGGCACAGGATTAGTGCTACAAGGCGGAGCTAAAAGAACTGACCGCCCGAGAGTCTCCAATTTTTTATGAATTTTCTTAGCAAGGTGGACTCGAACGACCTCAGAAAAAAGATTTTGTCTTACTTTGCTTTCAAGTTGAAGGCGT